TTAGATAGAGAAACTATCTCGAATTTTGAGTTTTAGAGAGAAACTATCTCGAATTTTGAATTTTAGAAAGAGAAAATATAGTAAAATTTTAAAAATAGATATCATAGCAAATTTTAGAGAGAGAAACTACCTAAAAAATTTTGGAGAGAGAAACTATCTCAAAAATTTTGGAAAGAGAGTATCACAAAATTTATGTTTTAGAGAGAAAAAGTTTATTAAAATTTTTGAGAGAAACTATATCAAAATTTAAATAAAGAAAGTACATGAAAGTTTTAGCGAGAGAAACTATCTCAAAAAAAATTGAGAGAGAAAGTATCTCAAATTTTAAACTTTAGAGAGAGAAAGTTATCAAAGTTTCGAGAGATACTATATCAAATTTTAGAGAGGGAAACTATTTCAAAATTTTAGAGAGAGAAACTATCTCAAACTTAAAGTTTTAGAGAGAGAAAGCATATTAAAATTTAAGAGAGTAACTATATCAAATTTTAAAGAGAGAAAGTACATAAAATTTTTTAGAAAAAGAAACTATTGCAAAAAATTTAGAGAGAAATTATCTCAAATTTTAGTTTTTAGAAAGAGAATGTATCTTAAAATTTGAGAGAAAATTTATATCATATTTTAGAGAGAGAAACTACTTAAATACGTTTAGAGAGATAAACTATCTCAAAATTATTGAAGAGTGGAACTACCTCAAGTTTTAAGTTTTAGAGGGAGAGTATATTAAAATTTTAGAAGGAGAGACTATATTAAATTTTAGAGAAAGTAAAGCTCGTCAAATTTTTAGACAGATAAATTATCTCAAAAATTTTAGATAGACAATTTCAAATTTTAAATTTTGGATAGAAAGTATATTAAATTTTAGAGAGAACCATATCAACTTTTAGAGAGAGAAACTATCTCAAAAAAAATTTATATACACTATCCCAAATTTTGAGTTTTAGAGAGAGAGTATAAAAAAAAATTTAGAGAGAAAAATTGTATCAAGTTTTGTTACCAAACAATGGACATAGAAGTCATCACAAGAAATCCATGAATTTTGTATAGTTTATCCAAACAAGAGATTTGAGGAATCTATAACAAAAATTCTTAATATTGAAAATCCATAGATTTTCCTCTATTTCAAATATCTAAGATTCCTAATTTCCTCCGATCCAAACGGGCCCAAAGTAGAATATCACCATGCAACGAAGTTTAGTTTCTAGGAGTTAATTTTCTTGGAAAAGGTTGGCCCAATCGTGTTCGGTTCGCTTAAAATTGACATTTCTATTGGAATTGAAATTTTCGTGGGATTCCTGAATGCTCATTTTAAATCTGAATTTTGGAAATTTCAATTCCACCAAAATAGATGGAATTGACATTTCATAGAAACGACCAATTTTTTCATTGAGCAGTCACTACCTTACGGTAAGTTAGATTGAATAATTTTTTTGAGGCTCGTTGTCTTCTCCAACCCTAGCGACTGAGGACCTTTCATATTTTAACGAGAGAAACTACTTGAAATTTTTTAGAGAGATAAACTAAATCACAATTTTTATAGAGAGAAACTATCTCAAATTTTAAGTTTTAGAGAGAGAGTATCTCAAAATTTTAGATAGAAAAACTATATCAGATTTTAGAGAGAGAATATATCTAAAATTTTTAGAGAGAGATTTTAGAAAGACAAACTATTTCAAATTTCTAAGTTTCTTAAAGAGAAAGTGTATTAAAATTTTAGAGAAAAAACCAAATCAAACTTTAAAAAGATAAACTATCTCAAAATTTAGAGTGAGAGAGAGATTATCCCAAATTTTGAGTTTTAGAGAGGAAGTATATCAAAATTTATTACAAAAAATTGACATGAAAATGATTGTAAAGAATCAACGAATTTTGTACTGTATATCCAAACAATAGATTTAAGAAATCCATGGCAAGAATCCTTGATATTGGAAATCCATAGATTTTCTTGGATTTCAAATATCCAAAATTCCTAGTTTCTTTCTATCCAATCGGGTCCTAACGGTTTTATTTATCTTTGCTAAAGGGAATTATGTTGTAACGAATTGAAATTGGGTTTTCTTGCTCCTGCACTATTTTCTCTCTATAAAACTTTTCTCTCTTTACGAGAGGGAAACTTGTCTTGAATCACTTGTTTCCCGTTCTTTATTTGGATGGTACTTGTCTCGCTCTTACTTGAGTGGAGATTTGTCTTAGAAGGGAAGTGTTTCAAGAGTTGATGGTCATTTGCAAATATTTGTGGATGTTATGCTGAAGAGAGAGAGAACTTCTCTAGTAAGTTTGTTGGTATTATTCTAGAGAGAGGGAGAGGGAGAGAGAGACGTGCAGGTGGCTTGGTCTTTCAAAAGGGAGGAAGATCCATCTCTTGACATTGCATGGAGGAAACAATAGAGAAAGAGAAGATTTGTATTTCCAAAAAAAAGATATTATAGGCAATCAAAACAAAAAATTTACATTTTTCTACTAGATGCAATCTAAACAGCATACACCGTATTCTAGAAAATGCCAATTCCAGTAGATATCAATTTCAGGATACACTTGTCCATAGGAATGAAAATCTAGGGAACCAAACAGGCCCTGAGTGAATTTATTCAAAACCATGAATATTGGATATATCGATAAGAGGCACTAATTTTACATGGTCTAATCATTCAATTTGTGCTTTATATATTTCGAAGATTTCAATGCCTTAGTATCATTCCTATATTTATTCTAGAAGGATGTAGTTATATTTATTCTTGAAGGTTTAGTTAAGGCATTACCAAGAGCATCTTTGGATCATATACCATTCTTGATAAACACAGAGAGAGCAAAATAAGCACATAATTGACCTAGAACTTTAGGGACCTCGATTTGAAAAATGACTCTTTACTCAATCAAATCCATACACTATGAGGGAAGAACAACATAATGGACTTGATCATGCACATTAATAAGAAAGATGGAAGGAATTCGAAGGGCAGTTATGAAACGAAAGGCTACTCTGGTTTCAACGCTCAATGCCTATCGGGTGCGGTCCGAGGTTTAAACAATACTAGTTACTGCACCTTCAAATAGCGTCGAGAAATGTAGTTTCAATATTGAAAATCTTTGTCATAGCCTTAAAATATATTTTTATCTTTAATAATAAAATTTAAATATTAAAAAATAGTGTAGATCGAGCATATTTATGAAAATCTGAAAAACTTGAAAATTGACGGTCCAAAAATATGTTACAAGATGAACAATTTCCAAAAATGAAAATCCATTTTTTTCTCATTTCCATGCATCTTGATATCGAGATGATCAATTTGGGTATCAAAACTACCTCTTCTAATGAAATTTTTGAGGTGGGCTCTAATTTGATTGTTTAAAGCCTCGGCTCTATATAAACTTTTTCCATGTCTAAATCATAACAATACCAGTTACTTCCATGCCGTAGCTAATCGTGAGAAGATAATAAATAGCATTCAGGGTTTTAGTATCGAATGAGTAATTGTTCACTATTTTCAACCAGGAAGTAAAAGAAAGAGCAATTGTCCACAATTTTCAACAGGCTTTTTACTTTTCAACATGGCCAAGAACTTCAATTGAAAGGGTTCCTTTTCTTACAATTTTGGAGGCCCAAGCTAACTTATCTTGAATGCCCCTTTTCATTGAAATAAATCAAAAAAGCAATATTTTGCCACTCTGTGGATAAGTCTGGATGGTTATCCTTTTGGCTTTCTTCCATATTTTTGGTACACGTTTAAGGGACACTTATAAAATTATTTAATCTTAGTTCTAAAAAAGAATTCATTTCAGATTTTGTAGGATGAAAGACGAAACGACCTCCTTACTAGTTTGTACAAGATCATTGCACAAGTGTCGGCAAATAAATCAAAAGGAGTACTCCAAATTCTTAGCTTTGGACCCCAATCAGCTTTTATTGAAGATAGACGGATTATGAATAGCATTTTAGATGCATATGAATGTACTCATTAAACAGCAACGCTACTCTTAACTTGCAAGCTTGACTTTGAGAAGCGTATGAATAAGTGGAATGAGATTATCCTATGGACATCAATAGGAGCAATGGATGAATTGGTTCACAGGATGTTTAGAATCATCCCACTTTTCAATCTTGATTAATGTGGTCACTAGGTTATTTTAAAGGGTTGAGAGGAATTAGAGATCCTTTATCATCCATTTTGCTCGCCTTAGTTTATGAATCTTTTAGCCTAATGATCGACTTAGATAATAGGACAGGTGTGTTAAAGGCCTTCTATATTTCATAAGGGTCCACTTATATCACATCTTTAATGCACATATGATAGATTGGTTTCTTGTAAGGCATCTTTGGAACAATTTCAAATCTTATGGCCCTTTCCCACATGTTAAGAAAATTAAATTGATAGCAGTCAACCGTGACAGTTGCAGAATTAGAGAGCTATGCAGCCAGGCGTGAAAATGTCTTTTGCCAACCAAATATGATGAATGTAAATTTTGGAATTTTGAGATTTATTTTTAGAGTTTTAAGTTGTTTACAGATTTCAAGGTTATCTTTTCGGGCCTCTTAGGGATTATTTAGGAAAGATTTCGGAAAACCTTCAAATTAATCATTTCAACCTTGATCATTATGAATAGTGAAAAAAATTAAGACTCCAAACATTAAAAATCGTGTATAGTGTAACCATCCATTTTCAAATGTTCACAGATTCACATGAACTGTACCCTTTTTTGAGCTACTGATTTACATCCAATGGTGGAAATAGATTTTAAAGCCATCATAGGCCTTATAGAAAGTGTATCCACTAAATAAATACTAAACACTTCCAATGCATAAGCAAAAAAAAGTTAAAAGATTTTGTATCAATGAAGGAGGGAGGAGGGAAGAAAAAAATAAAAATAATAAAAAGGACCTCCCATTTGCGCATTCAATGGCATAAATTGTGTAACACATTGTGTGCGTTGAAAAACTTTAGTTTGTGAATGAATAATAGAGAAGGAAATACATTATCAAATGGGAAACTAGAAAGAAGCGACAGTTTATCAAATGGGAAACTTTATTGGTAATTAGCTGCTTTATTCAAGAGAGATAAATATATTAATTTAACTACAACCATGAAGTTTATAAATAAACCTTACACGTTATTATCTTACTTCTGAGTAATTTGGAATCAAGACTGTTTTCTTAGAGCATTTGAAATAGCAGCTACTGTAGATGGGGTAGTTCGGCAGCATCCTCCTATTAGTTTGGCTCCAGCTTCTTGCCATCTCTTTGCATATGATCCAAATTCCTTGTCTCCAAAACATGTAGAATGCTGTAAACAAATATGAAAAAAATTAGATATAAATGAAAAGAAAAATGAATGAGAGATATTAATATCAATGTAAATGTGGATACTGTTTCTCAACTTTTTAGTAGCTTATTGAACTTGAAGAAGAACCAGCATTTCCCAGGGCAAAACATGGATAATAAAAAATCAGTGATGGACAACATGGATAGCAACCATTTTTATTCAAAATCCTCAAATTAAGTGAAGGAATTGAAAAGGGATATGATCCCAAAAATGTGTTATCCCATACTATCAACAGAACACCTTAAGTATATCCCCATGCAGAAAAATGAAGCACAGAGAAATCTCACACACCTATGGAGGATTGAGAATAAATAGTTAAAGCATTTATAATTCTCTCCATCTGAACCATGGTACATCTGCCACTTGGGTTGTATCGAACAAAATTTTCTAAACATCTCCTAGCCAATTTATTGTGGAAGAGAGTAGAATCTCTTTAAGAGACGAATGGCTATGGATTAACAATTGATCAGTGTGAAGAATTTGTGTCACAGGAAAATTTGCAACATCATGAAAATGGGCCTATTCATGTAATACCACTGGTTTGACATCCATTTAAGTATCACATGGCACGATAAATTCCTCCCCTCAAGTTAAAAGTTTAGAACTGTCCCACAAAAGCCAGGCTACGAGCTGGGCCCACAGAGATCATGACCCAAGGGTTCACATAATGCATTTCAGTAAATTATTGAGACACTGTGAGGAACTCAATGCAATATTTGCAATTAAGGATATTGGAAGGAAATTCTACGAAAGCTAATGAACAAATTGTGAAACAGAAGTGATCAATGCAACTTCCTCATCTTTCTAGAAGTGGGAATCATTTTGCTCTGGCAAACTTTGGCGCTAATCTGGAAGGCGAATGATTTGGGCTCTACAAGCAACCAATATCACTAAAGATTCTAACCACATGTTCTGAATTTTATAGGAAAATGAAAACTAAAATCCTATAAGATAATTATATGAATTAACAGCATGTAAATTCAACACAATCTGTATGTTACAAGAATCAATTTGGGATGATATTTATTCATTGTAACTCATTGCAACATATATCTTTATAGGTCCTAAGATTAGACACATGAAATACATATGAAGAGCCTAGTAATAATATCATGGATGACAGTAATATTAGGCGAGTGATTCCTTTCCTTCACGGAATGTATTTACTTAATTGCAGTTAATAGTTCCAAGTCCAACCATAGAATAAATAACAACACATAGACCATGTAGTTAGTCAATTAGGTAGAATTAACAACCCGTAAAGATCAATAGGTTATGGGTAAGATAGCTTGGGAACTTTTAAGGAATACCCTTGTCTTCAAATTAACGGCTTTAGCAATGTGACAATGTCATTCAATTGAATAGACATTTGTGTACAAGGGCACAGGCATCTGTTAGGCCGTTTCATGTCCAGATCATTTCATCCCTGTGCAGAAGTTTCATTAGTATCTATTACAAGTAGGCAACAATTGGAGGTAATACAGGATAATTTTCTATCATCAATAATTTCTTAAAAAAACCCAATCCATTATGGACAACAAAAACTGAGTCAATGAAAATCCAGCAATACTTTCTGCTGATTCAAGATTTCAAAAGTTCTATTTAATCAGTTGCAACCTCCCATCAAATTACTATTGACCTAAAGGAGAAAAGGAAAGTGGTGAATATTTCATTGAAACATACTTCCGAGACAAGTAAAAAGTATAGGCAACGTATAAGAAAAAACAAAATACATTCAAATAACCCAATACTCAAATCTAATAACAAGTCTCGTCTTACCAGCCATTTCTTGGTCCTGCCATCCCAAACTTCACCACTATTTGGATAAACAGCTATAATCTTTCTACTCAACTGAAAGCCAAATATACTTCATTAGCTGATACTTCTCTGACTGTTACATCAAATGAATTTGCGCATATATGGTAAAAATTAAACCAAACTCACAACCGAAGTGAAAAAGAAGACTACTAATGAGAATGAGCAGCAATTGTATACCTTTAAAAACATATGTATAAGATTTTCTATGAAATGTGGAGGCGTGCAATTAATTCCAACTGCGCAAACTTTATCACACTTATTCAGTAGATCAAGGCATTCGTGGAAGCTCTCCCCAGAGGCTGCATGTTCACCATCTACAGAGCTGAAGCATATCATAGATGGAATCTTTATGTTTTCTTCATGAAGCAGCTCAACACAAGCCTGCAAGACACACCTTTAGAACTAGGAGAAATAAACAAGAACAACAAACGGTGTGGTTTGTATAAGGCCGCAGTTCTAAACAGTCAAAGTAAGGAGCACCTTCAAATAGTGTTGAAAGATGTTGTTTCAATACTAGAAATCTTTGTGATGGCCTGAAAATTTATTTTCATCTCTAATTATAAAACTTAAAGCTTTAAAAAGAGTATAGATCAAGCAGATCTATAAACACATGAAAATCTTGAAAATTGACGGTTCAAAAATACATTACAAGCTGCACTATTTCCAAGACTTGAAATCCAGTTTTTCTCATGTCCATGCATCTTGAGGTTGAGATGAGCAATTTAAGGATTTTTGGGCATCGAAGCAATCTCTTCTAGTGAAATTTTTTAGACGTGCTTAATTTGATTGTTTAGGGCCTCGCCGTTATATAAACTTTTTTCGTTTTATTTTATTTGTTTTACTATTTCCAAGATTTTAGATTTGGGATTAATTTGAGTTTCAAGTTTCTATAGGAGTATTTAAGTCTTTTTTAGTTGTAGAGAATTGAGGGGCATAGTTGGAAGTTAAATATTAAATAGATAGAGGTTAGGATTTAATCAATGTTTCTTAGGGAACAAGATAGATCTTAGGGTTGTTTTATTCCATAAATGTTTATTGGACTAGAAAAGGGGGAAGAAATGATAGGTCTTAGGGTTGTTTTATTCCATAAATGTTTATTGGACTAGAAAAGGGGGAAGAAATGAAGAATAATTTATTTTGGGTTATGAAGAGATCTCTTTTGAAGTGGACTCCCTTGTAGTTGTAGACCCGAAAAGAGGGTATATTCTATCATGTATTATTTCTATTTTAATTGTCTGTTTTGCTTACTTTTCATTCTCCCTCTTCCCTCTGTATCATCAGGTGGTATCAGAGCCTACAAGATCCATCTAACACAATGCTACCAAGAACTTCTCCCGCAATCGATGGCCTATTGCTACAAATTATAGAAGTTGTGAAAAAACAATTTGAAGAGAGCATAAAGAGCATAAATCAAACTGTGGAGAGTATTCGGAGAGAGATCGGTGAAATTCGAGGACGAATCAGTGGAATACCAAGAGAAACAGGCGAAATAAATCATCGGAAGCAACGGTTAGAAAATATCATTCATCGAGAAGAGGGTGCTGACAACCACGTAGATCTAGCTCCAAATCACACCTTAAGGAATAATCAAGCCTCACTACCAACTCCAATAGTTGATCCTTATCTAATGAGCAAATTTTGAGGCCAGAACCTTGACCTGAAGAACGCCCACGTGATTTCAGTATCAAGGTCGGTCTTTTGGAGGTTCATCAAGAGTTTGAAAGAGAACTTAAAATAATGTTTGGCATCCCAAGTTCCACCACAAGTTGCCTATAAAGTATTTGATTAGTTGGTTCATTAAAGAAAAAAAAAGTATATCAGCAAATGGTGGGACTACATCAGCACTTATTCAATTGTTCTTTAAAGGATGTGGTCAACATAATAAGTTGAGCTTCTCCCAACCCCGGGAGAATGATCTAATGGGTATTTATGTTTTATTTTACGATTTTCTAGATTTTAGTTTTGGAATTATTTGGGTTTCTAGTTTTCCCTAGGGGTATCTAAGTCTTTTTTAGTTGTAGAGAAATTGAGAGGTATAGTTGAAAGTTAAATATTAAACAGATGAAGGGTTAGGATTTCATTGGTGTTTATTAGGGAACAAGTTAGGTTTCAGGTTGTTTTGTTCCACAAATATGTAACTATAAGACCAAAAAAGGGGAAGAATAGAAGAAGATTCTATTTTGGGGTCTTGTGAGGAGATCTTTTTTCGTAGACTCCCTTGCAGAATCTAAGAGAGGCTATATTTTTTATCTATTATTTCTATTTTTAATTTTCTGCTATGTTTACTTTTCTTTCACCCATTTCCCTTTACATTAACTAAAAAAAGGGTAATATTTAGTCATTTTGGAGAAATTTAGCTTCAAAAGATTTCTCCGAGCTTGAATGAAAGGTTCAGCTAAATGTTTTTATGTGTGAATATTATATTATATATTTTATTATCATTTTAACTATAAATGTTGTTTCCTGTCAAATGATATTATTATTAGATTAAAGTTAAACCCTACACACATTTATTTGGTAATTTCTACTAAATATGTTAGAAATAATTAATTATACAATATATTTCAAGACTAGATATCTGGCCAACTGCCCAATTAAGGAGCTTTCAAGGTGCTGAAGGGTATCCTCAAGAGTTACCTTAATTGTATAACTCCTATGTCACTAACTTGCTCAAATTATTCACTACAACCAAAATTGAAGCAGCTACTTTTGCATATTACTATGAAATTTATCTAAAAATAAGAATGATGGAGTACATTCACATTAAGGACATATCTTTAGGACAAAACAAACTCTAAATTGTAGTTCTGGTTCTGTTTTCTTCTCCCATACTGTCTATTAAATTATGTGTTTCCACAAGTATTCCTAATTTTGAGAAATGTTCTTTTCATAACATGCTATCTATCAATGAGTGATCACAGTGGAGGACAATAAACAATCCCACTGTCTTTACTCAACAGTGCTAGGAAATAGGATAATCCTTACAAAATCATCAGAAATGATCCTTCAATGATATTAACAGGAATAGTCCTCATAAGAACACCAGAAATAATACTACATTTATGTTAAAATTGATATTAAATCTTACAGTGAGATTCTCTTTTAAAGATCAGGTTACCATAGAAATAGTCAAATTTCCAAAAAAGAAGAAAACATTCAAAGACATATCTTTGAAAACCAAATTTTAAAAACTAATCACCCAAAAAATATTAGAAACAATTCATAGAGTAATGAGTCAAGCAATCACCTGGCTATTCCCTTTATCTCGATTCCCTCTATACCTATTTGACCATGTTGTTTTCACCACGAGCAATCTACTAATGCAAAGAAACTCAGATTTCTCTAAACACTTCATGGACCTCTAGCTTACCTAACATTAGTGGGGCTTCGCCATTTTCCAATGGTGGAAACATGAAAGAAACAGAGAATTTGCAAACTAAAGCATGCTAGAGACAAAAAAGTGAAAGTACCATCATTTTAAATAGGTCATTTTTATCATTCCTAGGAAAACATCAACTGAATTATGACTATATGTCACTCACTTGCCACATCACTCACTCGCCACATCACTCACTCTTCATAGATTAGGAGCAAAAGTGAAAGGAAAATCAAGTACAAACCTGGGTTTCAAGCTTATTGGGGATGGTCTCAAAGGCCAGCATATCTGGGCCCGCCTCCACAAGAACCTGTAAACGTCGCCTATGAAAGTCCTTCAGCTTTTCTAAGCTCACGTCGGGACCATAATTCCCACTGGATATAGAACTTGAACTCAGTGAAATACATTTAATAAGGCAAAAGAATGACAAAATATGGATAATATACATCCATTATATTAATAATCAAAGAAAGCATGGGATACCTGTACTCTGAACCATCTGCAAGATAAGCTCCATAGCTACCAACAGAAGCTGCCACCAATGCACAGCTGTGTCTGTGCCCTGGCATTCGCTGAAGAAACTCCCAAAATGTATCTCGAGCTTCACAAGCCAACTTTACACTTCGTTGGAGTAACAACTCTCCTTCTTCTTTCGAAATCCCGTTGGATAAAAATCCAGGAAGGGTTGCCTTCAAAACCAGGACAGCAATGAAAAATCTTAATGCCATGACCCATTTGTCCTAGTTTAATACTTAAATATAAAACCAATTATCAGACAAATTTGACAATGCCATAGTTATTAATTCCAAATGAAAGGAGAGCAATGATAGCTAACCATGTGGAATAGCCCAAGCATTCAGAAATGGTAAATAAGATAAGAACCAATATACCAGTAATCACACCTGATAAGATGAAGTCACAATTATGTCAGCACCGGCCTCTAGATATTCCAAGTGAACCTGCAAGATAGTACAGACCCAGCAAGAAAATTGGTTACATACCACAGCACAAAACAGAATGAGTAAGCAGTCATTTGTTCATAACCAAGGACACCACACCTGATGCTAGCATGAGGGTCACATAATGATAACATATTAATATTAAACGTAATGTTTCATGAGCCCACAAACTGACAGAAGGGTAAGCAAGAATAACAAACTCATAAAACAAGTTAACTACAACCCAAAAATAAAGGAAAAGTAAGGACGACCACAAAGTTTCCTTTTTTTTTCACTCTAGAACATAAATCTCTGTAATTGAAAGTACAAAATTAATGTACATTGCAAATTTAAATGTATATTTAGTGTTTACCCAACTGATCATTAATCACACAAGATACTAAGCAAGCAGATGCACAATTCCTTAACAAGAACAGGGTTGATGAAGTCTCCAATATCCACACTTGATAAGAGAAAAAAGTTTCAAATTCTAAGGCACATTTGAAGTTTTGGCAGAAATTTGAAGTTTTGGCAGATATTTGAAGTTTTGGCAGATATTTGAAGTTTTTATCTCTATTGAATTCACCGACCCTCAAACTGCCTTATCAGGATTTGCAAACCCAAGATAAATTTTTAATCATGGTTCCTAGACACTTCATAATAAACTACAGCGCCCCAAGATCAGTTAGATCAGCAATACTATCGTCTGTGTGGTTCTCTCATGTTCCCAAAACACCTCATCCCTGCTAGCCCACTTTTTGACACTAACAAACACTCCTATGCTCTAGACATCAAACTGAATAAAAGAATAACTTAATACTCAGTTTAACATTAAGAATAGGAATGAAATCAAACTTAATTTGAAGGATAGCTAAACCATAACAATAGGCCAGTCATTGAATAATCAACTAACCACTAGATGAACAGGAAAGGGTCAATGACAACTTAGTTGCAAGAGGTTGAAAGCATTTAAAGCTTGTGGTGAGACTAGCCTTCACTATACTGCACCTATAGTCTCAGCTATATCCAGTGGTTGTAACTAAAGAAGCCTAAATTGGATGAAAGATTGGACGATGCCACCTAGGATACTCGATTTGTCAGACAGATGAGATCCAAAAAGGTAAATCAAAACAATCCTAAATAACGTATTTGCAAAATATTATTCTGAATTTGAAAAGAAATCTCAATTGGAAAATAAGTACTTTTTTCCTATGAAATTAGCAAATAACACATACCACATTTACGGACATTGGACTGAGAATTTTAAGTGAAAAGGCAGAGTGGTTTTCCAAAATCAATCTTAAATTTATAAATACAAAGAAAAAGGGTACAAGTTAAACTCCCATAAAGTGACAAAATCCGAAATCGATCAAGAAAACCCAATAAGAGCAATTCATTACTGTAAAAACTCAGATCTATAGATTCAAAAGCAACAAGTTTTACCAGGTTGATTTCTAAGATATGATTCCCAAATTGTGAATCCCATTTCGCTCTAGTAATAAATCTTATCAGCTTATTTTAAAAAAAAAAAATTCAGCACCCGGGGCTTGGAGCTACCTTGTTTCTTCAAGGACCCAACAGCTACAAAAGCACACCATTGTTTTGGCCAAATATAACACAAAGGAAAGAAAAAGACGTCGATTTCTAGTCATTCAAAAACCATAAGATTCACATACTAGAAGAACACCCTGAAATTAAGATCTAGGAATAAGCATTTGACAAAAGAGAGATCCAACGAGATAGAGAGACCACCCCAAAATCAACGTCATAGAGAGAGAGGACCTGTTTAATGAGGTGAGGGTCGTTGATGAGGCAGAGGGCACTCCAAAGGGGATGGTTGATGTCGGCTCCCCTCTCCTCCAAGCGGGTGGCGAGGCCACCGTCGATCACTGCACAACCCCCGGCCCTCTCTATCAACTCCTCCACCACCTCCGCCATTACATTCTCCTTCCTTTTCTTTCGTGGACGGAAACAAAAAACCCGTACCTAACTCATCGTCTCTCTCTTAAATGGAGAAGAAGAATTTCTCCTAAACAGTTTCAAAATGGAGGGTGTCAGAGGTTTAGTGAGAGAGAGAAAAACGTTAAAAAAAAAAACAGAAAAAGAGTTATACGTTCAGATTTCTCTTTTGAAATTTTGGGCAGTTTATGCAAAGGTTACGTTTTGTAGTGTAGCTGTACATGTGGTGGCTTTGAGGGGGGGATCGAATGAATATAGCCATTTTCCTGGCATTGTTCGAGGAGGAGGTGACCACAAACTGTGGCATGCGGGTCGGGCTAGGCCTAGACCCAGTTTGTCCCAGCCCAACCTTAATTTTTTATTTATTGTCTTATATTTATTCATTTACATTTGGCTAGGCTTGGCTCAATCCTAACATACTAAAAACTGGGCCTAGGCTAGGGCCTATGACCAAGGCTGGACCAGCCTTGGGCCAGCCTGTTGCCGCACTTATTCTCGATGAATGGGCATGTCTCTTTGTATTATATGATTAAAGGGCAAGCTTTCTATATTTCCCTTTATCCAACCGTCTATTATGAATGGAGGGTTAAGATTGTCCCAATCACGTCATGTCTCTACATTATTTTATTTTTTAATTTTTTTTTCTGTAAAGTATTTTGATACCAAATTTTGGATGTCCAATCTTCTATTAAATTCGCACTGGTGAAAAATATAAAAAATAAAATGACCAAAATACTCTTGAAAGTTTCAAAGGGTATTTTGATCATTATAGTTTATCGATAAATTATTTATCATCGGTGCGCCCCAATGAGAATATGGCACTTACCAAATTTCATTTTCATACAATTTGTATAAAAAAAAAACTAAAAATAAATACTTTAAGATGTCGGATGTAAGATCAAACGGTGAGTGACTCTCTTGATCAAAATTGGACAGCTGGATGGTAAGGGAAGCATAGATCACGTATGCTGTAGGAAAAACATAAAAACCTTTCCCATGACTGACTACATGGATTACCTCCTTGTCAATTTCTCTTGCTTCTCTCTCACTTGTCTTGCATTTGAAATTTGATAATGGTGTAAGGCCGAGACAAGGAATGTTCTTTTCCAAATGGTAAATTGGAAGGCGAATCAACTGGAATGATGCTTGTGAAGGTTTTGAGCAAGAGAAATTGATATCGAAGGAAGGAAAATGTATATAATAAAATTATTTAGTTTTAGTATAAGAAAATTATAATCACCTAACATTAGGTGGATGGGGATTCACGTCATTGACTTGGGGATAAAGTATAAAATAAAATTTATTAAATTATATGACATATTTTAGATTATCAAATTTCGCATTTAATGGTAAAAGGGATATGTAACCGTGACCTCTTTCTACCAAAAAAAAAAAAAAATAAGTGGTCTTATAGTTTACAATCTTTCTTCATACCTGCTTACGTTGACATGATTATTCCATCTGAAAAAACAGCCATCTCATTGTAGGCAGTTGCTAAATATATCTCAAATGGAGAAGCATGCACAAAACCAACCAAAACCGTGTGAAGAATCTAAATATGCCAGAATTTTTGAGATTTTTTTTTTTGGAGAATATTATTGGTAAAGCAAACGAAAAGTTAATAATTAAAGGGTGAGGTTTGTATAAGGCACATTTTTTAGGGAAAGCTTTCTATGTTCTCCCTACAACATAGAAGTTCTATCCTCCCCCTACCATCCAGCCGTCTATTTTTTATCAAGAAAGTCACTCACCGTTTGATTTTAGATTTGACGTCTCAAAGTATTTTATTTTTAGTTTTTTTAATACAATTTTTCTGAATATGAAATTTGGAACGTGTCATCTTCTCATTGAGGTGCAATTATAAAAAATATTAACAATAATATTTCGATAAAAAATAATGACCAAAATACCCCTTAAAATTTTCAGGGGTATTTTGGTCATTTTATTTTATTGAAAATATTTTTTTTATATTTTTCATTAGTGCGAGTTTAATAGAGGAATGGACATCCAAAATTTGGTATCAAAACAGTTCATAGAAAAAACTTAAAAATAAAACAGTGTAAAGATGTGGCATTGTGATTGGGGCAATCTTAACCCTCCATTAAAAAATGGACGGTTGGATAAAGGGGAGGATAGAACTTCTATGTTGTAGGGGGAACATAAAAAGTTTTCCCCACTCTTTATACCATGGAAATAAGGCACACATCTAAAATTTGCTTAGAGATGTAGCTCTGATATTAGAAACCTTATCTTGGATTGAAAACCGATTTTTATCCTTAGTTATCAAATTTAAAATTTAAAAAATACTACAAATTGAGTAGATATATGAATAATGAAAAATCTTAAAATAGATAGTCTAGATAACTTGTTACATGATGTGATATTTTTTGGACTTAAAATTATTATTTTTCTTTATATCTATACACTTTCTTCTAAAGGATTTTTGAGGTGCACTTTAATAGTATTTAGTATACAACCTTAAATAATTTTTTTCTATAATTAAATATGTGTAAGGTTTGTACAAGGTGCCTACTTTATACTATATAAGTGATGCACACATCTAAAATTTTTAAAAGATGTAGTTCCAATATCAGAAACTCCAAGGTGAGAAACCTTATGATGGTTTGGAAATCCATATTCAACCATAATTATAAACTTTTAAATTTCAAAAATAATTTAGTCAAGCATAAATATAAGCACTCAAAATTTTTGAAAATAGGCGGTCAAGATAATTTGTTACAAATTATACTGTTTTTATTAGGACTTGATATTCTTTTTTTCTTTACATCCACACATGTTGACGTTGAGATAATCATTTAGAAGGTTTTCGAACTTCAAAATGCTCTTTGCTAGTGGACTTTTGAGGTGCACTTTACTTCTATAGTATAATGTTGCAACTTTATATAAACTATTTCCTTAAAATGCTTTCTTTTTGTGCAAGTAGCAACATATGGCATAGTTAGCTACCATGACATTACTGTGAAAACACGAATAAAGAGTGCCGCAACACCTTTGATGAAGACCAAAGAAGGAAAATGATGGGAAAGAAGATGATCAAAATGGAGAATTCTTATAAGTGAATTGCACTTGACAACCATTTGACTTGCCAGTATCAACCTTATGATGTTATTCTGACTAAATGGATCGAATGTAAAACGTTTAAAGTGTTTAAATTTGGTACACGAAAGTCACAATTGCCTACATTCGTCACCTACAAAATTCGACAATTTGGGGTGGGCTGTAAAGTTCTAGGAAATCTTTCAAGATTTGGGATGGCAATTGGTCGGGTCTGGCATATTGTTTTTGTCCGCCCAACATTCTACCCCATAGAGTAAAGCTAGTCTCACCACTGTCCTATAGAACTTGTCTTTTAGTCTCATTGGTATGCAACGATCACATAAAATTGTAATTGTACTTTTCCACTTCGCTTAACAAGCTCTAATTATGAGTGCGACATCTTTCTTGATCTCTCTATTTTCCTGGATTATCGACCCAAGATATCGAAAGTGTGGTCTTTTTTTTACTTCTTGACCGTCAATATTAACTAATTTATTGTCTCTACTCCTATTTATTACTAAACTTGCACTCTATATACTCTGTCTTAGTTCGACTAATTTTAAAATCTTTGGATTCTAAAGCATCCCTCTAAAGTTGTAACTTTATATTGACGTCATTTCGGGTCTCATCAATCAAAACTATGTTATCTGCGAACAACATGCACTACAGTATCTTGTCCTGTAGGTATCTAGTTAAGTCATGCATAACTAAGAAAAAGGGATACGATATCAACGCTAGCCATTGATGTAGACCTATTATCACTGAAAACTTACTCGTCTCTGCACTAGTTGTTCATACAGTAGTTACTACTCCATCGTACCTATCTTTAACCAAGTCGATATAGTGTCAAGAGGCGCGTTTTTTTTCCAATATCCAATAAATCAAATATCGAGGTACTCTATCATAAGTTTTCTCTAGATCAATAAAGGTCATGTGGAAGTCTTTTCTCATTGCCATAAACTTCTCAATCAGTTGCCTAAGTAGGAAAATAGCCTCAGTTGTTGATCTTCTTGGCTTGACCTCCCTGACATAATACCAAATTGGTTTTCAAATACATTCGTTTCATACCTTAGTCGTTGCTCAATGATTCTCTCCTAGAGTTTCATAATATGACTTATAAGATTGATCTCTCGATAGTTTACAAAATTATGTATGTCTCATTTATTCTTGTAAATAGGTACCACAATAATTTTCCTACGTTCGTCTGGAATTTTTATTGTTCTCAACACCTTGTTGAACAACTTGTCCAGCTAGTCAATGTTAATTTCCCCCATGCACTTCCAAACCTCTATCGGGATACTATCTGGTCTCAAAGCATTTCATGTCTTCATCATTTTCAAAGCTTCTTTCATTTCTGACACCCTACTCCTATGAATGTATCTACGACCTTCGTCACCGCTTGTACCAACAATCCCTTCTACCACTATGTTCTCATTGTATTCGTCATTTAATAATTTTTTAAAATAGGCTCTTCACCTTTCATTGAAATCATCATTTTTTACCAAGACCCTTTGATCCTTACTCTTTATGAATTTAATATGGTTTAGATCCCTATATTTTTTTATTTCTTATTTTTGTTAATTTGAATATATATTTTTCACCTTTTATTGTTCTTAGTTTATTGTATAGATTATCATATGTCTTAAGTTTAGCTTTATTTACTATTTGTTTAATATTTTGTTATTATTTTTATATTCTTCTAAGTTTTGATCATTTATATTATATTGCCAAGTTTTATAATATGATTGTTTTTCGTTAATGGCATTCTAAACCTCATCATTCCACCACCAAGTTTTCTTATTGAAGTTTATATTCCCTTTAGATTCTCCTAAAACTTGTTTTGCCACTTCTTGATACATTCAGCCATCTCGTTCCATATCACATTGACATCATGTTTGTAGTTCCATTTTTCTTCTTCAACTAATGCATCCTTAAATAAGTATATTTTTTTATTTTTTAAATTTCACCACCTAGTTCTTGGATACCCATTACATTTGCCCCTTCTTCTCCATGTCTTTCTGCAGACGTCGATGACCACAAACCTATGTTGGGTAGTCAAACTCTCTTTACATGATGGTCGATCTACCTTCTTAATTAGAAATAGATCCATCTGACTTTTATGTGTTCCACTTTTATAGTTTATTAAATGTTCATCT